GTCTTCTACCTCCGCCGCCGCCGCCACTACTGCCGCCGAATCATCGCGTTTAGCTTCGGAGAGTCAGCAGAGAGAGCTTTTGGAGACGATCATCTCCAATCTTCCATTGGAGAAGAGCTCCAGACCTTCGACGGCGACTCGATTCCTCTTCGGACTTTTGCGAACCGCCAACATACTTAACGCCTCCGAAGCCTGCAAGGCCGCCTTGGAGAAGAAGATTGCCTCGCAGCTCCACCAAGCCACCTTAGACGACCTCCTCTTCCCGAGCTACTCCTACCTGAACGAGACGCTCTACGACGTCGATTGCATCGAGAGAATCCTCGGTTACTTCTTGAACGGCTTGGATCAGGGAAATACCGCCAGCATCGAAGACGGTTCTGACGGCTCCGTCCGATCGCCGTCGCTGATGCTCGTCGGGAAATTGATGGATGAGTTCCTTTCCGAGATCGCCTCCGATGCGAATCTTAAACCGGATCGGTTATACAACCTCGCGATTTCTCTGCCTGATCAAGCTCGGCTCTTCGACGACGGCCTTTACAGAGCCGTCGATGTCTATCTCAAGGTCCGTATACTATCCGATACAAATTAGAATATCATTTCATAAATTAATCCTGTTTATTCATAATTAATTAGCATTTAAGCTTAAAACTATTTTAATTGCGGAATGTTAATCGATTTATGTTCTCTTCAGGCGCATCCATGGCTATCGGAACCTGAGCGCGAGAAGGTCTGCGGAATTCTGGACTGCCAGAAGCTGACGCTGGAGGCGTGCACGCATGCGGCGCAGAACGAGCGATTGCCGCTGCGAGCGGTGGTGCAGGTTCTGTTTTTCGAGCAGCTCCAGCTCCGCCACGCCATCGCCGGAACTCTTCTCGCCGCCGACGTCGTTCCACCGGAATCGTCCAGGCCATCGGTGCTGCGACACGAAAGGGATGACGAGGAGGAGGAGGAGGGCGACGCGGCGGAGGCACGCAGGGATGAAAGTGGAGGCACGCGGCAGGCGGCGGTGAGGCAGAATCAGGTGTTGCGATTGGACATGGATAGCATGAGGACGCGGGTGCGCCAGTTGGAGCGGGAATGCTCCAGCATGAAGAAAGTGATCGAGCAATTTGAGAAGCCGGGCCAACCCGGAAGAGACGAGTCGGGTCGGAAGGACTCGTTGATCCGGAGGTTCGGGTGCAAGTTCAAGACCCAGGTGTGCGATTCGCACGAACCGACGGTCGTTGATACGAGAAAAGGACGACGGCGACACCATCACCAACAGTAGACGCGACCGCACCAGATCACTATATTTCATTGCCACGTAGATAAATGAAAACGTGGATGGATTGGATTCGCTTATTTGGTACTGAGAACTCGACTTTTGAGACGACGTGCGTCTGAGACAATATGATATGTTGTTATATATATATATATATTACGGTGAAAGCAAAAGCTGAAAAGTGATTGTACAAATGGTGCAAATTCAAACTTTTGCAATTCTGGTTTTGCTTTTTTTTTTGTAAAAACAGTTTTTGGTATGACTTTTGGAAGCTGCAGATATGATACCGGTTTGTCTCTCATCTGGGTTTTTTGTTAAGTTGATTGGTATGACGACAGAGAGAGAGAGAGAGAGAGAGAGAGAGCATGCACATGATTTCTTGGATGTTCATGAATCATGATGATTAGTGTGAATAACTTGAGTTATGTCAAAGGAAACATTGAGAGATGGAAAGTTAAGTAGACTTTGAAGGTATGGGGACCATTTACTACTCAGTGATCATGAGCTCAAACTGTGGATTTTCAACCTTGAAAAAAAATAGAAAAAGGTGAAATGGGAGTTTTTATGATTATTAGATCTCGTTTGGCAGCTCGGATAGTACTGACTATTTTAGTCAGATGGGATAAATAGTTATCGAATAGTATTGACTAAATTAGTCGGACGTTTGGTGCAATATCGGACTAATAACCATATTATTTATACTGTGTTCTTGATAATGTGCTGGATTATAGAACTTGAAATTACAATTGATGATTAATGGAAACGCTGCTAAACATCACAGGTTAAAAAATCAACAAAATTAAAACTGTTAATTTAGTTTTTTTTCTCTCAATTATCAAACGCAAATTTCAATCCAACCCAACGAAACTCAATTGCGAGAGAATTGTTGAGGAAGTACACCAAGCCAGTGAGAACAGCAAACATAGATCGCAATTCCAGAAGTTCAGCTCCACTCCTAGGTCCCCTACTCGATTATAGTTGTCTAAATGTTGCAGAGGGAATTGGATTGGACAAATAGATAGGAATAAAGAAGTAAAATTTTAATATCATTCAAAGAAATTTGTAGGGGGTTGGATAGAGAAATTGGGGAAAACGAAGATGGGTTGGTTTTGGCAGGAGTAGGGAGGGGATGAGGAGAAGGAGAAGAAGACACAGGGCGCAATGTGAGACGGGAAGGAGAGAGCGGAGGAAGCGAAACTACCCAACTAATAAATACAGAGGATTTTGGGAGGATAATTTAGCAGGTGTACACTGTATAAAATGTGTGGGGCCAGTTTAATTAATCCGGGTACTATTTAGTACAAAATTGCACCAAACACCTTCATTCGTACTATTTATCCTATCCGGTGTGTTATACGGGCTGCCAAACGAGGCCTTAGGGTTTGGACTCTATAAAAAAAAACCTTAGGATTTTGCTAGAGTTAGTCGTGCACACTTGATAGCCTTAGTGGGTGATGTCTCATATCAACGGCTGAGAATTGCCTGCATTTGAGTTGGTGACTTAAACAAGTTATTATTGGGCCTTGGACTTGAAAGAAAAAAAACTAGGATTTTGTCATAATCAGTTGCATACAATTGCATCGGTTACTCTCGAATCAATGCTTGTAAATGCTTGCGCCTGAATGAGAGACTTAAACAAGGATACATACCCATTAGCCAAACAGTAGGTTGAGGCATATACCTACACAAATCTATTTCGTCTGCTACAATGCATATCCATTAGGCATTAGCAAACAGTGGTTCTTCGAATTCTACCTGGATAGCTTACATGTCACTTTAAAAAGTAATGCTACCTTGACAGAGAATATGACGAAAAACCGTTTGGTTTGATGTTTTCTTGGGCGGATGGGCCTGACCACTGATTAGTAACTTGGGCAATCACCCAACATGAGGAGTTATCTGGATGGGCTTGAGATTGTAATCAAAATCCAGGTGGATCTAGCCCAGCAAAATATATAAAAGTGAATTCTATTAGCCCAGCAAAATAACTCCTCATGTTGTTAGATGTTTGGAACACGAGATGGTACATATAAATGGAATGACACTTAATATATAAAAATTCTATTCGATATAATAACATGTGATGTATTATTCCGTGTTGTGGACATAATGAAAAATTTTCCTACTACTTCAATGGTTCAATAATAGCCTCCGAAATAAAAGCCTATGACAGGAAGCCACGTGGATCCCAACCGGATCCAACAGTCAAAACTAGGGCTGGAAAAAAATCCCAAAAATCCCAAACCAAACCGAAAAAATTCCGATCCCAAACCAAAAAAATCCCAAACCAAAATTCCCGAAATTTTTGGTATGTCATCCCGAACCAAACCGAAATTTTCGGTATGGGATTCGGTATTGCATCTCCATTTTTTCGGTATTCCCATACCGAATTGAAATAAATATTATATATATATATATATATATATTATTTTTTCATTATAAGAGAATTATTTCAACCGTTCATTTGTTTTTAGGTTAGATCACCATTTCAATTTTGACTTCCGTTCGATTTCCTTACTTTCATCAGCCTTCCTTCACGGCTTCACCAGACACTTATATGCAGCTTCAATATAGAAGAAATGCGATGTGGGACTTGTGCTGTGATATACCTTCTTTTAATTTGAGGAAAGCCAAATCAGTTATGATGTTGATGTTCGGTCCTTTGATCTACCTTTTCTGCCATCTATTGAGTGGATTATCCAGCCCCTTTGCCTGCTTAGACAGTCTAGTTTGAGATGATATAGTAGCTGTGAGTGCCTTTCGCACCGCGATCAGTCATTCAATGTCCACCAGGATTGCAGTTGTGGTGTAGCTTTGTATACTCGTCATACCATATGATGCATTACCATTGTCATTGCGTAAGTTTCATCTGGTGCCATAGGGTCACAGGGTTAACTTAGTTGTTTGGTTCATGTCTGCGAGAAATTGTGTTATCCTCGTTGTTTAGAAATAATTTATCAGTTATCTGTTATCCTTCATTGTAATCAATAATATTCTCAATGTTACATATCTGTAATGTTTTGCAGGTACGACTATTCGGGGTATGGGCAATCAACTGGAAAGGTCTGTTGGATATTTGAACAGTTTTTGTATTAACTAGTTGTTTGAGCACAGTGCATCACGTAAGTCCCATATTTTCATTGTTCCAGGCAAGTGAGCAGAATACATATGCAGATATTGAAGCTGCATATAAGTGTCTTGAAGAAAGCTATGGTACTAAGCAGGAAGATGTCAAATTAGTATAAAATTAAATAACAAATTGGCAGTTTGGGCCTAAAAGCATAATATGTCAAATTTTAGCCCAAAAACATAATATGTCAAATTTTAGTCCAAAAGCCCAAAAGCATTTCGGGATTCCCGATTTGTCCCGAAATCCCGAAATTATTTCGGGATTCCCGAAAATTGGGATTCCTGAAAATTTGGTTTGGGATTGGTATTGAATTTGGGATTCCCAAAAATTTCGGTTTGGGAATCGGGACAAGGGTTTCGGTATGGGATCCCATACCGAACCACCCCTAGTCAAAACCTAGAAGCCGAAAAAACAGTTAGGATCCGAAACCCCCCCAGTCTCCACCGATTTACATTCTCTGACACGTAAAACCTCAAACCAAGGGGACCCCACACAGTAGATATAGTGTGACATATCCTAAATCCAAAGCGCCAACACTGCCTTTGCTGTACCTCTGTAATCTACAGGACTTGCATTTTCTCAGATCTGAAGCAAGAAATTAAGCAGAAAACTAAATAATAAAAGATGGGGAGGAAGGGGATGGGGTATCTGGCTCTGAGAAGTGATGACCCCGAAACTAGTGAGTTGATAGATTCAGATATCAAAGAGCTCAAGATTGCAGCCAAGAGACTCATCAGTGATGCCACCAAGCTTGGTGGTTTGGGTTTTGGGACTGCTTTTCTCAAATGGGTTGCCTCCCTTGCCGCCATGTGAGTCGATTTTGTAATTCCCTCTCTCAAATTTTGTGTTTTTATATGTTATCTTATGTTCTGTTCTCAAATGACAATTTTTCTTCAATGGCCCGATACTATGGAATAGTTGGGGAAATGAACAGAGATAATTGTGGGTCAGAAATTGAACGATGACGATTATTAAAAAATCAGACTACTTGGTACGCTGAATTACACCAACACTCAAAGAGTTTGATAAAATGTCTTGTTATTTGTATCATTGGGGATCAAGTTGCTTTGATGAGTTTTTGTTAATGAGTTGAATTGGGGAAGTGGGAATTAAGATTTGATTTTCTTTGTTGCAATTGGAAATTGGTGTGCAATCCAAAGTGTGATCTTTCAGAAGAACAATATAAAATTGCGTCAGTGATGTGCGCCTCTCTTGATTTTTCAATTATTAAATTAGAATCTAATACTTTAATTTTTGGGATATATATATATATATATATAAATAAAGTACAACACTTACCTGCATATTTAACTATTTCTTATCCTTCCAGATATAAGCCTTTTTATAAAATTGTAATATCCCTTATCATTTTGTCTTTTAGATGTGGCCTAAGTCACGAGAGATTATGGCTTGCAGCCAATACATAGTTTTAATGGCGTGACTGATGACAGAGATGATTGTAGTGTGTTTAAATAGTACATTACATATCCGTTAGATACTTATTATGTGCATGGTGTCACCTCAATACTTAATAGTCCAGAAAGACATTGACACTACCAAGCATCCATTGATTAGTTTTACTTGGTCTTTTTGCTATGTTGAATTTCTTCTGTCCAGGTTTATGGTAAATGGTTACCATTCTTCTTGTATATTTGAAATAAGTTCAAATAGGTTAATTAGGCTTGTAGCTGAGTAGGGTTCAACAGATACATTCATCGTACATACCTCAACCTACTGTTTGCCTTGGGTGGTGTAGGCTACTAGTACATCAATTCTGACGTCGATTTCTATACGTGTTCACTTAACACTTAGACCATAACTTCTGGTTGGACATCAATGGATTGAAATTGGAGAGAGTTGTTATCGTAATTCATAGGCTTTGGAGTTATTTTACCATACCAACGAACTTATGCCTTAGTACGTGGTTCATTGTAGGCTTCTATTCGTTACACTGGCTTGGCCATGTTTGCTCTCATCCCGCCAAATTTCTTTCTAAAATTTGCGGGAGGTGAGTGTGGTTTCTTGGCCAACTTCACGTGAAATTTGCATCCCATGTTGTACCCTCAAATGGTGTTTTCTTCATTTCTAGCATGTGGTTATGATGGATATGACTCCTAGCACTGTAAAAAACAGGAATGCTTAATTTCTAGTTTTTTATATGCTCGGATAGACGGATGCCAAAAGGATCGGATGAGAAACCATAAGAACAACAACTGCTTTAGACATTCTTGCAATTTCGTGGTGTAATTTTCACTTAAGAGTTAGTTTGATTTCCGTAGCTTGAATTCCATTTATTTTCTCCTAATAATTAGCTCTTTTATTCTAACCATATGATGGATGTGCTTCAATTCTTTACCATTAACCACTGAAACCGATCTGAGATGCCATGTTAGGGCATGTTTTCCTTGATGACATCCTCACACTCTCTTGATGGCAGCTTCAGCCCCATAAATTTCCAGGTTTCATTTTCTTGACAAGTACAAATTTCGTCTCACAAAGTATTTCCAATGCTGCAGATATTTGTTGATACTGGACCGGACAAACTGGAGAACAAACATGCTGACTTCGCTTTTAATCCCTTACATTTTCTTCAGTCTTCCTTCAGTGCTGTTCAACCTCCTAAGGTGACGAATTCGGTTATTGGTGCACGATAATCTCAACTTATTTAGTTTTATAAATCCCTCTTTGATTCTCACTAATCTCAACTTATTGACATTGTTTCAATATAATTCAGAGGAGAGGTTGGAAGATGGATTGCTTTTGTTGCCGTTGTACTGAGGCTTTTCTTCCCAAGGCATTTCCCAGGTATATGCTCAAGTTGCTAGTTAACTGAGACGTCTACAATCGCTGTGCTAATCTAATTCACCTTTCAACCCTTCTAATAAACCCACCAGATATCAACATTGTACCGTACCTCCAAGTCCTTGTAGGTCGGTACTGGTGTCCGTTTACCATTATCCGCGAAACCTGAAACTGTTAACGTGAGGAAAATCTTCAAGGACTTATAACAGTTGGAAATACATGCAACATCGCAAGCGAAAGTGATACCTTGTCCTTCAAGCTTAAAACTCTTTTGCGCAACACAATTTCGCAGCTATATCTGAAAAGTTAGAACTCAATATCTGCCTTGCTTGAAAGAGTTCGCCCATCATCCTTTCCCTTGCGGTGACATGTTATACATAAGAAAAAATGAAGAGAATAAACGCCTTTTTCTGCGTCCATTTAACCGTGATACTTCATTGCAGATTGGCTAGAGATGCCGGGATCGTTGATCCTTCTTCTGGTTGTGGCTCCAAACTTGTTTGCGCACACGTTGAAGGACAGCTGGGTTGGCGTCTTGATCTGTCTTCTCATCGGTTGCTACCTGCTGCAAGAGCACATCCGGGCATCAGGTGGATTCCGAAATTCTTTTACACAGAGCCATGGTATATCGAACACGCTCGGAATCATCCTTCTCCTGGTCTACCCTGTCTGGGCATTGGTTCTCCATTTCATCTAAGCATTCTAGTTAACAGCAGTTTCTACCATTTCTTTGTGTCTCCAACATTGAAACAATTTCGATTTTGTTGTCAATTGTATCCGTTGATCAGGTTTCTGCTTATTTGTATACAACACTTTCCTTTTCTTCCAATAGATAAAGAAGTTTCTGGAAAGTATCTCATTGTTAACACGACATTTGATTACTCCAAGTAATTGATTTAGGCTTTCGTGCCCCCAAAGCATTTCAAAGTCTCCATTACGAGTGTCCGTGGGACTGCAAACCTTCGTAACCTTTCACACCTCAGCCTCTCTACTAAGCCTTGTGAAAGCACTTGTTGCATGTGAGCTTGGTGGGTGTCAGATTAAAAGAAATGAGTATGGCATGAGAAGTATTTTACTGATTGGCACAACTGAAGTATCACATAAAATTTGTATAAAATTTTGCTTAACTATTAATATGCTACTTTTGTCATTGCCAATAAATTTCACGCTAAAAAATATATGCTCGTTTGAAAGTGTTTCTTTAAAAAACACTTATGCCCAGAAACCTTTTTAATAAAAGCACATTAAATTTGTAATAAACATGTAAGTGCCACACAATAGTCATTTTGGTGTTTTGAAAACGTTTTAAGTTATTTTAAAAGAGCTTTTAAACAGGCCTTTAATGTCCGCGTATACTTTTCTAGAAATAAAAAAAAAATACAAACACACCAGGTGTGTGGGCCACTCGTCCATTTTTAGGCCGAACCACATCACGTTAGTAAAGACCAAAGTTCAAAATTCTCATGTTCAGACAGAGCCAAGCCCAAAACTCATCATATCAAAACCTAGGCCCATGGCTGCACTCCGTTCAGCCGAATAATGGCGGATTCGTAAATTCGCCCAACACCGAAAACCCTAACCCTAATCAGCCCCACTGAGCCCTATAAAAGCAGCACAATATCTGGTCGACGGAGAAGCAGTCGAAGTAGCTGTCCCGTTTTCTTCTTTCTTCTCCGCCTCCCCATAGTAATTAGCTTAATCATTCTGGTTTTGATTTTCCCGTCAATTATTGCTCTGTTTTTACCAATAAAAATCCTCCTTTCTTTTAGTTTTTGTTTATTCGTTCTGAAATCATGATTTTTATTTTCAATTTGCTATTTGGGGTTTTTCTCGGTGATGATCAACCATGATGACGAGTCCGATCCATTCATATATAAAATCGTGACGACAAAACGAGGCATTTGTCTGAGAGAAAATCTATCCAATTTCCACAATTTTTTCTTTTCTTTTTATTTGTTTTCAAAAAATTTCTAGGGTTTTATTTATTTGGGGTTTTGAGGGTACCCATGATGATGATACAGGAGATAAGATCTTATTGGATCGTCTTGGCCGAAGGAAACGGAACGGGCGGCTCTGCTGAACAGATGCTGAGCCTCCCGTTTTCGTCTGCCTAGCAGTTCCAGGCGGCGTTCGCTTCTTAATTTATCTGGGTTTCGGTTAATTTCTCGTTTTTTTATTTTTATTTTTTTTGAAAAACGGGCATAGTGATGATGCGTATTTTCTGATTTATTCTTGATGAATTAATTACCTCCTACTCATACTGAATGCCGCCTAATCAGATTTTAATTAAAGTTTTGTTCTGTTAGAAAATTGGGTAAAAGTCATTTAATTTTTAATTATTTTGTAAGTGTGATTTGTTGTTCGTCAAGTCTTAGAGAGAGAGAAGGATGATGAGGTAGCAATGATGATAAAACTCAATGTAGTGTTCATTGAGGGAGCACCCGTGATTTTGTTTCAAGCACTTTTGAGCTTCTCTCGCCTCTCTCAAATTTTACCATTTTTCTGTTTTTTGGTTTAATTTCGTAATTATAAAATAAAATGGCATTAAAACATGCTAATTCGCATTAGCGGCGGTTAATTGCTACAAAATACAAAATCAATTCTGTAATTAGGTTTGGTATTGCCATGGATTATGAAAATAAAGGGATTTGAAGTTGCTGGTCAATCAACACATTGAAGCCAATCTTGACGTTAGAGATTAGGCTATCCCAAAATTTTGGAATTTAAGCCGTTGGGCGAGAATTGTCAGGTGACCTTGTGAAGGCCGGAAAATGGATGGGAGGAAAAGCCCCTTGCTCGTTTAGTTTGGGACTCTTTTTGCCCATCATTTTTTGACGAAATGCTTAAATGAAACTTAGGCATATCTCGGCACACATTAAACTGAGAATTTGCACGAACACAAGTTGAATTGGAATGAATGGATGATCTCAATGACAAGTTGGACCAAAAGGATATCATGAAAATTTTCCAAGATTTAAAAAAATTACTTGCATATTATCAGGAGGAGGGGATCACATCATCTCAAAGAACAGAACTCAAAAAATGTCAAAATATGATGGCTTCGCCCGGGTTCGAACCGGAGACCTTCAGTGTGTTAGACTGACGTGATAACCAACTACACCACGAAACCTGATGGTGATTCCACTCTAACAATATCTAAATAACAATGCTCTGTATCTCGGGATCTGTTTTAACTTATACTTGTAACTCTAAATGCTGAACGCAAAGGCCTATTAGCTCAGCTGGTTAGAGCGTCGTGCTAATAACGCGAAGGTCGCAGGTTCGAGACCTGCATGGGCCAATTAGTTTTTTACGATTTTCCTTTTTTAAGCCTGAAATTTGAGCAAGCGAGTTTGAAATTTTAGGCCTTTTTTTCCTTTTCTTATGGTGGTTTTGAATGGATTAATCATTAATGACATAAATGATATCTTCTTTTCGGAACAAGCTCAAGTTAGAGCGATGATCTTTTACACATTATAGTTTTATCTATTGTTTAATATAGTCACTGTATCAACTACTATATCGGCTTCTTAGAAGACATGTGTCAACGACAATTGTGAAAATTTCACCTTGAGCTAATTGATATCTTGGATGAGGAAGTTATGCTTTGCCAATAATTATGTGAACGAGAACTTGTATATTTCCTTCCACTTGAACATGATCGAGGCCCTAGATAAGTGATGTCTAATTGTTTAGGCACGGGATAAATATTCAATAATGATACCTTGTTGAAACGAGAATGAGACACAAATTTTTAAACGTAGAATTTTCTTACTTTTTCACCTATCCTATGTTAGTAAACGTAGAATATGCCAAAAATTAAAGTGACACTCCTACTTTATACATTTTCGTTTCGGATAAGTAACCATCTATTAAGCCTAATGTAGACAAGTAAAATGTTATAGTTTATAACCTGAAACATTTGGAGCAGGAGGCCAAGGATCTATGAACTATCCTGTCCGGCCACTAGTATCTTTATCCCAAATGAGAACTTGCCACTTGGCATCCAACTCATCTATATCTTTACCTTCTTTCCACCAATCACAGCAAGCCTTATCCTATCCGTTTTATCTCACTCCCACCAAATAACTCTCCATTTGCCACACAAAACCCGCTTCCAAATACTCGAATTATTGTGTGAGATATCACAAAAAACATAGTGAACCAACGACCATGGCAGCCTCCCTCCAAGCAGCTGCTACGCTCATGCAGCCGACCAAGGTCGGCGTGTCGGCGAGGACCAGTGTGCAGCTGAGGTCCTCTCAGAGTGTCTCCAAGGCCTTTGGCTTGGAGCCATCTGCCTCTGCTAGGCTCACTTGCTCTTTGCAATCTGATCTCAAGGACTTGGCTCACAAGTGCCTTGATGCTTCTAAGATTGCTGGATTTGCTCTTGCTACTTCCGCCCTCGTCGTCTCGGTATGTTGTGCTAATTACATTTCATTCCTCAGTTTTTTGCTTCATGTGATTGGAATTTCGGTGCAGAAGATGAAAAATGATTAAGTTGTTTGCATTTGACCTTTTGTGAATGTATGTTAAGTAGTACTTGCTAGTTACTTATGGCCTATAGTTAGGGGGTAAACATTAGATTGGACTAGTTGTATATGCAATTATATAGCAATATCCACATGTTCTCCATTAATTTGTAGAACTGGATCGTCCCAATAGACGAGAGTAATGTTCTCTATTTCGGATATTTGATATGTTATGTTGTTAGGATAACAATTATAATCGCATATCATATAGACGTACGCTCATTTGATAATTGGGAGTGAGAATCTAACAATATAATGTAGCATCATTTGATTTCATATAGTATGGATATAAATCTCATTAGTTCATTTTGGATTGACAGTCTGACAACAACATACATCAGTGATCATTGGACTTCATTTTTGGGGATGAATTGCGATTGACATTTGGTCATTGTTGGCCACCACTTGTGTTTTCAGGGAGCAGGTGCAGAGGGATCTCCAAAGAGGCTGACCTTCGACGAAATCCAGAGCAAGACCTACTTGGAAGTGAAGGGAACCGGAACTGCCAACCAGTGCCCAACCATCGATGGAGGATCCGAAGCATTCGCGTTCAAGCCTGGCAAGTACACTGCCAAGAAGTTCTGCCTAGAGCCAACATCCTTCACAGTCAAGGCAGAGAGTGTGAGCAAGAATGCTCCACCAGATTTCCAAAACACCAAGCTCATGACCCGCCTAACCTACACTCTGGATGAGATCGAAGGACCTTTCGAAGTTGCCCCAGATGGCACCGTCAAGTTTGAAGAGAAAGACGGAATTGACTACGCTGCAGTGACAGTCCAGCTCCCAGGAGGTGAGCGGGTGCCCTTCCTCTTTACCATCAAGCAGCTCGTAGCCTCTGGCAAGCCTGAAAACTTCACAGGAGAGTTTCTAGTACCATCATACCGCGGATCCTCTTTCTTGGACCCCAAGGGAAGAGGAGGATCCACCGGTTACGACAATGCGGTTGCGTTGCCGGCAGGTGGCAGAGGAGACGAGGAGGAGTTGGCAAAGGAGAACACCAAGAATACAGCAGCATCATCAGGGAAGATCACACTGAGTGTGACAAAGAGCAAGCCTGAGACTGGTGAGTTGATTGGGGTGTTTGAGAGCATTCAGCCGTCTGACACTGACTTGGGAGCCAAGACTCCAAAGGATGTCAAAATCCAGGGAGTTTGGTATGCTCAGCTTGATTAATTTCATTTTTCTTCTTATGTATTAAATTAATGTGATTCCGGGTTTCAGATTTTGCTATAAATTAAAAAGGTGTTGCTGAACTTTCTTTGTAACCTAATCTTGGACAACAAGCGCTGAGATCACTGAGATCATTGTCTTTCTTGTATATTATCATGCCTATTAATGTGATAAATTTCGAATTATTTTCATTCCAGACCTCCCTTACTTCAAAACGTGTCTTACAAATAAGTTATATGTTATTCTTTGAAGAGTCACTTATCCTAAACTGCAGTTCTTTTTTTTGTTTTTTTAATGGTAAATGTATCAGATGATAATTTGCAATAAAAAAGTAACGTTACAATATTTGAGAGTGACATAAAAAGGTAACTTGGTGTAAAGGTTGGATGGCCCATTCAGGTCCTAAATTTAAAGAAGGCAAAAATCTTATTATTCATCGGAAGAAAAATTGGATTATTCACCATTCATTCATAGGAAAGTCACTATTCATTTTGAAGACTGTAAAATAAATAGTTTGCTACACTTCTCTGTCAAACTTCTTATAAAGAAGCGTTTGTACCATTCTTATACGCCAGAATTGATTTTGAAATTCAACTTTTTCTACTTCTCAGTTCTCTCTTCTATTTCTATACAATTTTTAGTACGTTTCACAACACTTACAATTTTTAATATGTTTCATGTTTGAAGCATGATAGATGTATAGGTTCCAGTGACTCAAACCCTAGAAGTGGAGATTAAAAATTCAAGCTCTATAACATTCAAAAAGGGGTTATGATCCGCATTCTCTAAACTATAGAAGAAACAGTGTAATGCCCCTTAAGAGGCAATAGATATCCAAAGAAATGAAAAGCTTTGAAACTATGTATGTGTATGCACATGAGAATTATGAGATCACAAATTGATGATAATCAATGAAAAATTTGGTTTTACAATAGCTACTATATATTGAGTCGCGTTCTTTTGTTCGTCAACGAAAGGAAACATTATTGGCCAAAATGGAGAGCCAATTACATTACAATTAAGTAAGATTTTGGAAAAATGGACCCATATATAGTACAAATAGCCAAAGGATGTTGAACCCAAAGAGTTACACATAAGCATTTGTAATACAGTGAAATACACTTACATAATATGACAAAAGGTTCCTAGTTGAAACCTGAAATTGTGATATACTTCTGCAAACATGATTTTCCAACGTGAAACATGTTCATTTCGTAAGAATGGAGAATTATATATTATACAAAACTTATGAAATTCCTGAAGCATATCTCCATAAGCAATAACAGGGATAATATAAATTGCCTTAATGAATACTATCATTATGATATTGTTGCAACATACTAAATCTTTTACAAGAGTTAATGATATTAGATTGGAAATCCTGAAGAGTCTAGAAAGATTATAAAGTATTGAAGACATATTGTCTCGAGTTGCAGATCGAACAATATGCCAATACGATATTTATCCACCAATAGTACTATGGTATTAAAAAACCATGTGGATTGAAGATTATGAGTTAAACACCCAAAGGGTTAACCAATATTTAGACGCTAAGAAAGATCATTCATCATCGTGAGGGAAATGATGAATTGATACTTGGTTCAGAAGTACCATATTTTAGTGAAATATGTGTTTTATTGTACTTTACACAATGTATAGCTTTTAGTCAATTTGTTAGCAGCATAGATAGCTCTGGTCCAACAATTCGACATTGAAAGAGAATCAAAGATGCTATGTGGGACTATAGACATGAGCCTACTCTATTTCGAGAATCCCACAGATAGTTGAAATCTTGTTGGATATGCAAATGCTAATTTTCTCTTTGATTTGCATAAAGCCCTTTCACAAACTGGATATGTGTTCACTTATGAAAATGTAGTAATCTCATGGTTCTCAAACCGAAGCATACACAAGTTGCTACATCTTCTAATCATTCAGAATACTTGCTCTTCGTGAATCCAGTTTTGAATGTTTTTGGTTAAGATTAGTGATCCATCACATCCCAAACTCATGTAGTTTACCTTAAACAAACAAATACTCTAGCTATCATTAATGAAGATAATACATGTATTGCTCAAGTGAAGCAAGGATTCATCAAAGGACAATAAGACTGAACTCATATCTCCAAAGTTTTTCTTTACACATGAGCTCAGAAGACCAAAGTTATTGAAGTAAGAAAAATTTGTTCCAGCGATAACGTGGCGTACCGATTCATCAAATCTCTGCCGAAGTATACATTTTAGAAGTTGATGATGGTATCGGATTACGTTGACTTAGTAATTAGCCAAATTGAAGAATGCATGAATCAGGAGGAAATGCTCATCAGGGGGAGCATCCAAGACACGTGCTTGTTGTAATCGTCTTCCTTCGTCTAGGATTTTTCCTAGCAAGACTTCAATGAGGCAACAAAAATGCATTCAACACTATATTAATGATCCAAGAAACGTTGTACACTTTTTCTTACGCTATGATTGTTTCCCATTGAATTTTTTTAAGCAATATTTTAATAAGGCAATCGACATTAGTATATGGTCATCTAAAGAGGAGTGTTGTGAAGGTTGGATGGCCCATATAGGTCCCAAATTCAAAAATAAAAAGACAAAAACCTCATCGGAAGAATAATTGGATGATTTACTGTTCATTCACGGGAAAGTCACTATTCATTCGAAGACTGTAAAATAAATAGTTTGCTACAAATTACTATTGGATGAAAAACCTCTTATAAAAGAGCGTTTGTATTAGGGCCGGGCACGGGCCGGGCCGGGCCGGGCCGGGCCCAATTTTGAAGGGACCGGACCGGACCTAGGTTCAAAGAGAACGGGGCGGGCCGGGCCGAGGATTACATTTTCTAATATAAGAACCGGACATTACCCGGCCCGGTTGAAACGGGCCGGTTCGAGCCGGGTCCACGGGTCCTTTATTTTTTTTTAATTTTTTTTTTTTTGGTTGTTTGAAAAAAAAAAAATTTGTACGGACTGCAGATTGCAATCTGCACAAAAACTGCACAGAATCACAGATTGCAATCAATAAACTATGGTAATCAAATACTCTTAAATTTCTGCAAATTTAAATACCAAACAACTTAAAATCTACAATCTATAAGCAGATCCATAAAATTCAAAACCAATAAACAGTATTGGAAAAATCAACATTTAGAGTCCTCCAGGAATTAGAGGCAGGGGAAAGGGATACAAATTCGCACAAAAACCCTAAATCGCATGTGAATCCAATTTCACAGGGAGATTAATTAACCCTTAATCTCAACCCTTAATCCGCCATGAATTTACACTAACAGCCCAGAAATTCTAATCCTAATTTCTCATTTTTTCCAGTCTCTGCAAATCTCCCAATTTTTCCAGTTTCCAGTCTCTGCAAATCTGAGCTTGGCGTAGGAGTGGGGACAGCGGGTTCTGGTTGTTTTTGAGTGACGGCGCCTCCTTCTTCAAGTTCCCACCACCCTCAACACCTAATCGGATCTCTTCCCTATGATCCTTTCCCTCTTCTCCCGCTTCAAACCCAAACCAACAAAAAACAATAGATTTACCAAAATCACAAGAACAGAGTGAGAGAAAGTAAAGAGCGAACCTTGCTTGTTCTTCTTGAAGGGGCCTTTAGAGTGAAAGCCAAAACCTTCAAGCCGCTCTCTTTTACGAGTATCCATAATTCCAGAATCCAGATCGAGATCCGAAACGCATCCAACCCACTTCAAAACGACAACGGAAAAAGCACTGACGATCCTGCGATGGTGATGGTGGCTACATGAGGTCCTGATGTAATGTCGACAGTCACTAACTCACTATGAGTCTCAGGGAGTCGAGTCAGTAGGGGTCTGAGACGAGAGAGGAGGGGAGATTTGGGGAGTGGGGTCTGAGACGATCGAGCGAGGTCTGAGACGAGAGAGGAGAGGAGATTTGGGGAGTAGGGTGTCGACTGTGGGAGTCTGGCAGGCAGAGTCTGAGACTCTTACTTGAGGGCGATCAGATTAAACCAACGGATCAGATTAAATCTCAAATTTTTGGAAGGTGGAAACGGTTCGGGTCGGGGACCCGTTTCCTCAGCAATTAAGACCCGTCCCCCCCCGCAAATGACATGGACCCGTCCCGCCCTGCCCCGTTTCAGGATTTTAAAAACAGGACCCGCCCCGTACCCGTCCCGAATCGCTCGGACCCGCCCCTACCCGCGGGTCCAGGCCCCGTTTGCCCAGCCCTAGTTTGTATCATTCTTATACACTAGAATTGAGTATGAAATTCAACTCTTTTCTTCTTCTCAATTCTCTCTTCTATTTGTATATGAATTTCTCAACAATTTTTAATAATTTTCACAACAAACCTAAATATGTAAGTGGGTTGTCATTTGGTAGTGGAACAAAGCACATGGCCATTCAAATTTTGTTCATCCTGTCCATGATCTCTGAACTGTAGCTAAATCCTTTCTCATATCCCTTTCTTTTGTGTGGTTGGTAAGCCACACAAATTGGACTAGGTATGATTGATCCAAACTATACTAGAGTTACTGTATGCTATTATTCTCTTCAAAATTGTCAAACTTTTTTTTTAATGCGTGATGATTTTCTGTGTGCTTTGGTGTGGCAAAACTCGAAAGTAATTATAATATTCATATATCAAATAATATTTAAATCTTTGATTGCATGAAAGAGTTTTTAATGTGTTCGAAATAAGAAGCAGTACACCATATGTTATCATATAATTAGAGATAATTTGTTTTAAGTGTCCATAAACTTATATAATGTCATCTAACATATGTATCTTTGTTATGCGCACATTGAAAAATTTCTCATGATGTGTTGCATGAATTCGGAGTCCTAGTGTGAAAGAGACCATTGAACATGACATTTGGGAAATTATTGTATATTAGATAGATTAAACGAAAAGCAACACGCATTTAATTAAATATTAATTTGTCAATAGACAGTTTTCATCGATACATGTTGACAAAGCTAAATCCGTATAAACTTTAAGAGTAACGTTAGATTTGTAAATCAAATGATGTGGTTATAGATAATTAAATTACTAATTAAGTATTGATTAACATGATTATTTTTTTTATTAGTGACATATCATTGAGTTTAAAATTTTGATTTCCTTAACCTTATCCAAACTTTAAAAACAACAAAGAACAAAAACTTGTAGTACGGTTTCGTAATATACTACTTTGTTATTCATTATTATTATATCTATTTTTTTTTTGTTTTAGTCAATATTTTATTGTTAGTTGGGTTACAGGTACTTTGAATATGATAACAATTAGTTCGTTTATTTATTTTCAAAAATAATCTGCCACTTTAAGCTAATATAAACCATAAGCGAAAAAATTCGAATTAAAGTGTATAAGAAGAATCTCATCCCACGTTTATATTAGTTTATTCGTTTTAACTCAAGTAACATATATATGATATCAGTCAAAACGTCCATTTACAGTTGAGGACCTGCCCCGATCAGTTTCCTTTTTATTGACAAATTTTTGTCCGACATGTATTAAAATACACTGGGCAATTAATCACGAAAAAGAAAAACAATGACATATAATATAATAGCAAATTTAAGGCCAATTCCCTTATTTTATACACTTTGATTCAAAGAACCTTAATGAGGAAAAAGAAAAGGAGGAAAAGAAACTTATTATTTTTACCCACTTAATAATTTTTTGGAATCACCCACATGGTGGGGAGTACGGTTATTGGTTTTTCGTGCTAACAAAATAGGAATATAGAGACAAAAATTTACATATGTTCTTATTCTCTTAGCGCGTAGCGCGAGTGTACATGTGCCATATAAATATTTCTCGATGGTTAAGATTTTCTTCTTAACTTACAATGTTCGGAGTAGTACCCCCCTTTAATATAGATATGGTAGTAATATTGCTTATAAAAAAACTTAATAATATAAAAAAGATTAAGTATTTCAGGGTCTGTTTAATATCTTACTTGAGAACTGAACTCAAAATTTTTACTTTTTCTAAAAACTCATGTTTTTATTTAAAAATTTTAAATCCAAACCTTGTTTGGTATGCAATTTCTGAGTCTCAAACTAATCAAAATTTCTACCATGCTCTTTCAAAAAAGAAACAAATTTGAACACCCAGGCCCAACATTGATGAACTCATTGTTATCATCTCTCTCACTCCAACCTTTGTGCATATATGAAATTTTGATCTAAAAGCTGGGTTATTTCGTACTGAAATTGATTGAATGAGAAGAAAAAAGTGGGACTTGCTGCTTTCGAGCGAAAGCTTCCAAGTGAGTTCGGAAAGTGGTAAGATGCTCCTTCATGAGATCGGTTCTGATATTGGCAACAATCTCACCCAACGGATGACATTGGTCCTGCAAATAAAGGATGGCTTTGGGTTGGATTCCAAGACTTGGTCGTCAAAATCAACGACAGAGATTGTCAGTGTAGGTTCCGGCGTTCGATGTGGCTGCGCCACTGGTGGTTGGTATGGGGTAATCGAATTGAGACGAGAGATCAGAGAGAGGATCTAAGAGGCAAGAGGGAAGAGAGGGAATTGGGAGAGAGACGTGAGAGAAGATCCAAAAAGTCTAAAAACACACTTTTTGTGTTTTCAACAAAAAGGCTTTGTTTTGAAAAAATTTTGAGTTGTGGTTTTGAGAATTGGATGCAAATCAAATACCAAACAAGAAATTTAAATTTGTGACTCAAAATTTGTTTTTGATTTAAAAAATTAGATTCAAATCAAATATCAAACAGACTCTAAAGTTCCCAACCTTTTAGTATCATTTTAAATTGATCACAACTTTTTTAAACATCCAAAACATTTAGACAAATTATTAAAAATGTCACATCCGTTAAGTGTGGCATAAAATGTTTGGCATTTTGTTACCACCACACATCGCTACCTAACATTAAACCATTTATGCCCTCATGAACGAGGAGATGCCAAAGCCAAAGCCAAAAACCCACCAAAATTTGCGTACCCCTTACGTCCCCTTCACTTTTCTTTTCTTTTGTCCCCAAACACTCCTTTTCCTTCACAATTCACCACAACGATTCGCATTCCCATTACCATTCTTCCCACCACAGCAAGTCCTCCTCCCCATATTTCCCCACAATTATTTAGTAACTCCATTTTTCTCATAATTACTTGGTCATGTGGCTGAGAAGAATTGTTCTTGAATTTCGTTTGCCATGAGGAGTTCTTGCTGCTGCTGCATGCAATTGCAAGCATGGATGAACTGCCGGGGTCGTTGGGAACCAGTGCCAGCTTGGCTCTGCGATTCGGGCAGACCATCTTCTCCACTGCCGCTCTTCTCTTCATGTGCTTGGACGTCGAGTTCTACAGCTACACCGCTTTCTGGTACTTTTGTGATTTCGACTTGTTCTTCAATACCCATGTCTCTGTTTTTGAATTTGATGGCAATTCTGTTTTGATTTCATGAGCTGGATATTGCCTTATGGTTTTCTCAAGAACTGGAAACTGTATTTGTGTAAAGATCGTATAGAGATTGTACTGGTTTAAATTTAACTATATTTTATACATGCAAAATATTATATGCTTGGACTTGATGGAAGATTTTTAGTGCATGCTTTTTGTTTCTAAGTTTCTCCTAATTGAGCAAGTAAATATATTGAACTTTTTGTTGAGAAGGAACTGTTCAAGACTCTGTAATTCACTATCGAATTTCGGGTATCTTGACTAGAAATTATGTCGATGGGAAGGTTTACTTTGTATGTTTCAATCAAAGCCAGGGATTGTGATAGTTTTAGTTTTTAGAAGCTTTGAAGTCTAATTCGAACATCGTAGAGCATCAAAAAACCGCTTGATAGAATTTACCGGTTTTATGGCCTGTATGATATGAATCTGAATTGCAAAAAAAATAAAAAAATAAAAAAAAAATCTCCGGCATAGGGAATTGGAAGCCAAATCTTTCAGCCTCCAAACATTAAACATTAGAGCTCTGAAAAAGGAGTACCAGTTGCCATATTGGAAATCATGCTGTTTCAGCTGCTCTTAGTTGAATTTTGCACGTCTGTTCGTGTCAATGTTTCTGTAGTCGTTGACTTAGTCTTTGAGAACTTATGTTCTAATGATATGTCCAAAGAAGTCTAGCCCTGTTCACCTTGCCTTTCTCCCATGTACTTCTAATGTATAGCCTCACCCTGTTCACCTTGTCTTTGAGAACTTATGCAGCTATTTGGTGACGGTAATGGGTTTGGTAGTTCCGTGGAGCATGACTCTGGTGATCGTTGATGCCTACTCTGTCTTCGTTAGATGTTTGCATCATCAACCAAGAATAATTACAATAATTATTTTAGGAGACTTGGTATGTGTTTTTGTCTATAAACTTATTTATCTCATTAACAACTTCTTCCTTTTCCCAACTTAAGACTATATTATGTTCTTTTCATCACAGGCATTGTCGTATCTCTCACTCGCTGCAGCTTGCACGACAGCTAGTACCGCAAATCTCCTACTGTATCTCGACGGATCCTACTGCCCCGCCAAGTTATGTACAAGATATCAGTTATCTGCTGCAATGGCTTTCCTTTCTTGGTTTCTTTCACTAGGTTCCTCTCTGTTCAATCTCTGGCTTCTTCCTTCTTTGTAAAGGTCCTGCTGGTTGTTGTCATATACAAAAATTGAGCTCCACCGAGATTAGAACAATCGCGTCCATATACAGAAATTTTTGGGAGATATAGATAGGGTCGTTCTGAGACGAAGCTTAAAGAAATGTATACCTACAAAGTTATTCTGTTGAATTGTATTTATGAAGAAAAAGAAATAGTTCGCATTTTAATCACTTGGTAATAGTAAAATTTAGGTTTGAAACCATTTGTGTTGATGTTGTTGATTTCTGATGTGAATTCGGCTGGTCGTCCCCCTCATCATAAGAGAAGCAAGGTCTACAGAAGGTTAGGAAGTAGTACATCCGGTTCACTAGGTTCTACCGCTGCGAGGCCCAATCATATTCAAAAGAAGAGTTCGATCCTAGCTTAGAAGGAATGCTAGCTATATGCTAAACACATGCAAGTCGAACGTTGTTTTCGGGGCTTGGTCCTTAACTCTTAAGAACTGCAAGTGACACCTTCTGTAACCATATTTGCATGAGGTTGTACATTTAGTCATTTTGTTTAGCTAAACTTACACAGACTTTATGAATGACATGATTGTGAACTACTGTTTCGTTATATCTGACACGTTAGACTCTCATTCTGAACCATACATTCAAATAAGAATTCATATTGTCAAGGATTCATATTCACTAGGGATATATTATTTAATTCATGTGAGTTTCGAGACCCTCCGTACAAGTGAAGGACTAGTTGTCGTTGCAACATGATATTTTCAACTGAACAAAAAATACTTGGTATTTATAATTCATAAAACTGTTACATTTACCCCCAAACCAAAAGCCCAACGGCCATGTTAATCAAAGCCAAAAATCCGACCGTTGCTTCCCGCCTCTTTCACTCTCTGCAAACAACCACTCTCCCTCCAAATCCCACCAAGTTCACCCACAAATTCAAGACCTCCACACACCAAACCCTGCATCATCTCCTAGAGCAATGCTCCTCCATGAGAGAACTCAAACAGCTCCTCGCCCAAATCATCCTCCACAGCCTCACAAACGAAAACGTCACCGTCAAGGAAACTCATATCCTTCTGCTTCGTCTCTTATTCCGGAAATCTCCTTTACGCACAGCTCGTGTTCCACAAAATTCCTAAACTAAACAAGTTTATGTACAATAGTCTGATAAGGGGTTACTCAAATAGTGACGACCCATTTAAGGCTTTTTCACTCCACTGCCAAATGGTTGGTTCAGGACTCTCGCCGAACGAGTTCACGCTGCCCCTTGTGCTCAACGTTTGCGCGGGGCAGTCTGCATATTGGGAAGCCGTGGTTGTCCACAGTCAGGGTATTAAGCTAGGAACTGGTCTCAAGTTTGCGTGCAAAATGCCCTTATTACTGTCTACAGATTTTGTGGGTTGTTCAGTTGCGCTCGGAATGTGTTTGATGATATGTCTGAGAGGACTCTGGTTTTGTGGAATTCGATGATCAGTGGATATGCTAGAACGAGTTCATGGGAGGAAGCTTTTTTATTGTTTAAGGAGATGAGAGATTTGGGGGTTGAGCCTGATAAGTGCACCTTGGTTACTTTACTCTCTGTTTGTTCACAAGCTTGTGATTTAGAACTGGGAAGATATGTCCATCTTTTTATTGAGGTTAGTGGGATTGAAGTTGATCAAATTATGAGAAATGCTCTTTTGGATATGTATGCCAAGTGTGGGCAGTTGCACTTGGCACGAACGATTTTTGATCAAATGACTCCCAAAAATGTGGTTTCCTGGATGTCAATGGTTAGAGCATATGCTAAACACGGGCTCATTGAATTTTCTAAGGAGTTTTTCAACCAGATGCCACAGAAAAATGTAGTTTCTTGGAATTCAATGATTTCAAATTATTTCCGAGAAGGCCAGTGCAGGGTGGCTTTGGATCTTTTCCAGAAAATGCTTAATTCCAGTGTGGTGCCCGATAAGGCTACCTTGGTCCGTCCTTTCAGCCTGCAGTCAAATTGGCAATTTGGTTATTGGAAGGAAAACCCATAATTACATTTGCATCTGCAATATTGCAGCCAGTGTAACTCTTTATAATTCCCTGATAGACATGTATGCAAAATGCCGTGCTGTTGGAATTGCCTTGTATATTCGTTTTCAGATACCAGAAAAGAATGTCATATCATGGAACATCATTATCCGGGCCCTTGCATTGCACGGTCATGGATTAGAACCAATCGTGATATTCAAACATATGCAAGCAGGTGGAATCTGGCCCGATGAGACCTTCATCGCACTGCTTTCTGCTTGTAGTCAAAGTGGTCTTCTTGACTTAGGGAGATGTTATTTTGAAAAAATGAAGTCTATTTACAGAATATCACCTGAAATTGAGCACTATGCTTGCATGGTTGATCTGCTGGGGCGAGTGGGACTTTTAGAAGAAGTATTGAGGCTGGTAAGAGGAATGCCTATGAAGCCTGATGTTGTCACTTGGGGTGCTTTGCTTGGTGCTTGTAGGATCCATGGAAATGTGGATTTGGGAAAGCTAATTCTGAAGCAGCTGTTGGAGTTGGAACCGCATGGTTCTGGGCTTTATGTACTTCTAGCAAACATATTTGGTGAAGTGCACAGACGGGAAGATGTTAAGATCATCGGGAAACTAATAAAAGACGGTGGATCCATAAAGAGTAGAGCAATGAGCTTGATCGAAATTGATGGCCGTGTTTATGAATTTATGGTTGACAACAAGAGACGTAAAACTTCAAGCAGTATATACTGCATTCTTGATCAATTACTGATCATCTGAGGTCTATTTGGTATGCTCCAAATGCATTTTTGGGTATAGAAGAATTGTCGTGCTGCTGTACCAGTAAGTTAGAATGCTTTAAAACCCTGATAATTGTTCACACTTTTTATTGCCTTTACATGTAATGACTTGCAAGCAGGCACTGATTGCCCGTTCTTTTCATACCAAACCCTGTTTGAGGGAAAATCAAATTAATTTCTGAAAAAAAATAACCACTTTTTTTTGGAGTTCAAGAAGATTATTTCGTTGAAATGTGAAGTCATTAACTACTCTAGAGTCCAGTCCGACATGAAAAATGTAGGTCTTATTTTTTGGTTACCGACTATCGAAATTCGCAGCATTTTAAAACTTTGGCTTTCTCAGCTTCTCCAAACTTGAGTAGATTAATCCTAACAGAGAATACAGTACTGCCTTTACGCAATCCATTATGAAATTCCAACAAGAAGCGGGCCAGTGCCATGGATATAGCAATCGGAAGAACAGGCTTATAAGATGCTGAGAGTTATCTGCTAACAGGAAAGGGCAAATCTAATTCATCCCATGCCGCATGATGAACAGCTCTTGTGGGGTACATTGGACCTCCGGGAGAAGTGAAGCTATGACAATCCTTTAACCTTGTGCTTGTGGCCATTCTCAGCTCCTTGGGGTTCGTAAGTTTAGTAGGGTATGCAACATATGATTATGTAACAAGTAGAAATGTGTTCTACAAACAGGTTTCTTCCTTTCAGGGGCGTTGATTAAGTGTAGAAATTGGAGCTTGAGCACCCGAATTGCTACGGCTTTCTTGTTAGAGCGCATGTCAACCATGCAGAAAGAACCTAATACCAACTGATACATCATGGTCGTTGCCAATGAAGTTAGATGGCGAGTTCAAAATATGTGAAAAGCGCATTGTGATGCACACAACATACAGGTCAGGAAGTTCTCTAGTTAAGTTTTTAACCAGCTATAGCCACTTCCCTGTTAAGTTTTTAACCAGCTATAGCCACTTCCCTCTCTGTACTTTTTTTTCTTGAGAATAATAATCTGTTCTATTCTCATGTGTTCAGAGATTCACGTCAAACTGCAGCTGATGGTAATATAATATATATACGGATGGGAACAACTAAAACTTCCATACAAGTTTGATTGAATTGATGCAAAGTAAGTATACTATGAAGTATTAACAAGAACATTATGCTCCTTTTTCTTCGACCGGATTATATATTCAGATTTACTAAGAGAGATTTTTGGATTGTAGGGCATTATCCAATCCTTTTGCTGCAGTTCAACACAAAAAACAAAACCCAAGATCACAATCTTGCAAGGAAAGAAGAAGGAAAGCCACATCCAATCCAAGGTATCTCATTTCTGCTATATTTTTAGTGATCTCAATCATCTTGTCGAATTCATAGGACGAGTAGGGGACAAAAATTCTTTGTATTTGTTGAAAATCTGTTCAATTATTTACTATTTAGTACCGCATTCTTTGTATTCTTTGATAATGCAGATTTCAGAACCAATTGACCAAAGCTCAAGTCTTTTCAAATCTTAAGGGGCTAACGAGAGGTGGGGCCCAAACAGCTATGCATGGATAAGGTGCTCTGGATCAAGAACTTGCATGGTAATGACGTTGCCCTACCTTTAAAAATAATGTTAAAGCGATATGTTGTCCAACCTTTAAAAGTTTATTTCAAATCTTCCAACTAGGGTTTAAGTATTAGTTAGATCGGATTCTTTTCCAGGGTTTTGTCTGAATTCATAATACACACATAATTGAGTAGGATTTGCTTTTATCCGGTTGGTGGGGTTCATTGTTTGTGTTGCCAACATGTCTGCTTCAAAATTCAATTGATTTACCAAACAAAAGAAAGAAAAATGTCCAACCAAAATTAAGGGGATGTATTTAATTGAGATTTTGAGGGATTTTAATTCTTTTAAAGAATTCAAGTATATTCAATCAGAATTTTAAGTGATTTTCTGAAATTCAATGTGTATTCAATCAGGATTTTGAGATAATTTATTAAAATTCTTAGAAATCCGGGTGTATTCAATTAGAATTTTAAAGAAGTTTATAACATTCCAGGTGTATTTAATTAGAATTTGAATTTAAAGAATTTGAAAAAGTTGAGGAATTAGAGGGAAATGGAAAGGTTTTGCAGTGTATTTTAAGTATCCACAAATCTCACATCTCCCTATGAGATTTTGAGGAAATTGAATTAAAATTTTACATGAAATCTCTACAAATCAGTTAAACTCTATAAAAATCCGTGGATTTATAAATCCATTGAAATTTCTCAATTTTCAATTGAATACACCTTCTAAAAGAATGCAAGTCCCATAATTCATACAGAGATAGTTTCTTATGAAAAAATTGATATTGAATCCGAATATATTCTTTTTATATATAAATAGTCCAGACATGGAACGAAGAGTGAATATAATCTTTTTTTTCT